TCTACCCGTTATAGCAGAGAGAGCGTTAGCGTTGAAGAGGGCAGCACCGATGAGAGTCGCATCAATGCGGAAATCAACGGGCAGGAAGGGTTCATTTTTCGAGTTCTTGGCCGTTCCTTATGGTTTTTCTTCATCCCGGCACCATTGACCACTTCCACCTTACTAATAGGCTAGCTTTTCTCTTGAAATGTGGCCTCAACCGTTGCTGAGAACCTCATCACTTTCTTCTATTATAGGCACTATATCCACATTCATTGCTTAGTTTTCATACGAGACCAGGTACACGCCGAGGTTTGCCATCTCGTGGGATGCGCCCGGCATCCCATGAGTATAATTTAGACCACACTGACAAGGTAGGGTATTTGGACAGGTAGCTAGCCTACCGCCGTCTCTTGTAGAGATTGTCCAATATCGTATAAGTGAATATTCATGGTCTCAAAGAATTCTGCTCATACCAGAAAACTTGGGACTGTTGAAAAGTTGTTATGGCTCTTCTTGGCAATGGGGCGCAAGGCGCATTCCTGATTCTTTCATTCCTCTCCCTGGCAGGAAGGATAGAACTTCTCACCGCTTCATTTGTAGGATTCGAATCAGCTCTATCGCTATTTTCTCAGGCTTGTTGCTATCTCCATCTCCATAGAAACTATAGCTCTACGGAATTTCGAAGGTGGCATTAATGCCGCTTTCAAAGAAGTACTGTTATTTTCAGCACTAATACTAGAATTTATCGGTTCAAACAGCTACAATTTTTTCATGAAACGTTCCATTCAGCGCTTGAATGAGTGAACTACAATTTAATCATTCGCGATGGACAATATAAGGACACCCGTAACTCAACAACGATTCAGTGTACTTGTTGGCTTCGCTGTTTTTGTCCCAACTTCAACATAAGATTAAGTGCAAGAATGGAGTACGCATACCTTGTCATCTTCGTTTACTAAGATGTAGACCGATTTTCCCCATCTATTCACTCCCCGGAACTCGACGTTCCTTTGAATCGTCTCGCTCTCTATTCATTTCTTTTCTCATCCTAGAAAATTGCCCAATCAACATTCGTCTCGGGAAAAAATGCCAGTTACGTATGGCCCGATTTGCACAAGGAATGCACGCGAAATAGAAATCACGTCATCTCGAAACTGCTCGCTGTTTTCCACAAATTATGGCACGGTCCTCACGCTGTTGGTACTACTCCAACCAAGCAGGTCGCTTACGCCAAAACGTTAAGCTATGGAAGCTTGCTGCGGAAACATCAACGCATACGGAACAGTTGAGGTTCTACGTCGCCTTTATGACTGCAGAAATGCCTTTTGAGCATTAGTGGAGGGACTACCGTAAATCCTTATCAGTCCTATACAGGGGGGGGGGCAAAAAAAAAGACATTTTGCCCATGTCGCACTTCGGCCTTTTTTCTTCGCAGAGATTGCCGTCGTTGACGGAAGTTCCTCAGCAAAATATTCCCTAAATGTCCCTCTATAAGTACACGCAGGCCTTCACTGCCCTCACCGTCTTCAGAATATGACGTCATCTGTCACCGTCGTCGAGCTCAGGGAGGCCTACAGTAACTGCTTCAGCCTGAAGCTCTTACATAATTTCTTGGATCGATTCAACGTGGGATAGTTTCCTAGGGACATTAGCTCTAACTATGCAAACCCCCTCGGAACCCGCCCTTCGGAACCCGTCGTAACGGTACACGATCAGTCGAGAACCCCATTGAGCTCGACCAGAGCACCATGTTTCCGGGGCAAACTTTTCTGATGCCGTCCACGTAGATGGCCACTATGAAGATTTTCTTATGAAATGAAATGCGCTCTTCAATTCTAAGTTGGGAGCACACGCTTTGAGCTGAGCAAAGTGTGATTAAATCCATTTGAGTCTGGAGACAAAATGTCTTTTTTTATTGGCCCCCCCCTATATACCGAAGCGTCCAAAGAACTGTATGCGAGATACCGCTTTTTTTCGCCCATCACTACCCTCACCCTAGAAATGTTTACCGTAGCTCAAGATTTTTCTGTTATGGGTTTGAATTCTCAAAACTGACCGATCAACTCAACGAAGTCTAGAGGACGCTGTATATTAACGTTTGAAGGGAACTGTACAGATGGGAAAACGCATTGCACTAAAAACAGCGTTTCTTCGAAAGGCTCTGTGGCTACCTGTTTGTACTGGTGTGTTGCATAAAAAGCAGCTGGCCCGGGCAAAAATTGTTCAAAGGCAAATTCCCAACCCTACAAAATCTCAACGCTGTGTCTCGTTTTTTGGGACTAAATTTTTGCATGTTCATTCACCCTTAGTGGGTCTAAATACCCTTTCATCGGTTTAGTTATTCTCACAGACATCGGTTGCCCCTCTGCCTGTGAAAACTGTAGTCACAACACGCTTGACGACCTGTCGTATCACATGCCCCCTCTTGGGTACCACATGCCCCGCCAACCTTGATTGCATCCTGATGAACACTGCTTCATACTGCTTTCTCTTTCATATTTTCCATATTTTGATATTCAATGAATCTTTTCTACTTTCATGACTGCTGAAGCTATGTTCCCAGAACTCTTCAGCTTTAGTTCAACCGTTCTTTACTAATTATTTGCTAACATTTTTAGACCAACAATTTTTCATTTGTGATGGCCTACATATCTGACTAAGCTGTAGCAGATTATAAAGACTCAGAGCGTGCTTCACTAACTTTCTCATAACTTAGTAACCGGAGAAGGGTCAGGAGTTCTCATTCAGTTATTATGGGCTACTTTAAAGGAGGAATTCACGATTAGAATGAAGGTCGAAGAAAGGGAAACTGACCTAGTTGAGGGACCCACGGACCTCCTGAGGGTGCGAACTGACGCGCAATTCGCATGGAAAAATTTGACCTCGGCGACCTATCATGCCTCAAAGCTGGCGGGTCCGGCGATCTCCGCCCACCGATCATCTGATCACTCGCCGTAGTTCAATACGTGGCGAGTGATTAGATAGCTGAGAGAGCGTAGTGTTGAAGAGGCACAGCGATGAGTCGCATCAATGCTCGAATCAACGGGCAAGGAAGGGGTCCCATTTCTCGGTTCTGGGCCGTTTCTCATGGTTCTTCCTTCTTTCGTGTACCACTCACCATCCCTAGGTTAATTTGAAATGGGTTGCTTTTTCATCGTGAATTCGTCCTTTAAGTGTCAGGCCACGCAGACTTGAGAGCCCAATCTCCACGAGAAAAAAATAGCTGAAGAGAGCGGTGAAACTTCTGCATTTGTCAAAAGCATGCCGGATAATGAGCAACTCTTCGATCTTGGCAGGAATAGAACTTGAATCTCTCGTTTTTTGAGCAGTTGTGCTGCCGTCTTACACCATTTGAACTAATGTCGCTTGATTTTTTATTCACATATTATTGTTTTTGTTGTGTTTGAGGGGTGGTGAACTGAAGCTTCGCTTAGTTTCTGCATAATACACGGTATTTTAACGCCTAAAATAAGACAGAACACCTCATGTATGTGTTATGGACTAACTCGCAGTAGAGATCGACATGCGAATGAGTGTCGAGCCTCAAGTCATGGGAGTTCGACATGGCCCTCACTAGAAGATTCTAACCTGTCTTCAACCATGACCGAACTTATGCACTGCTCTTTCAGGTAGTCGACATTTTTCCTCTCGATCAAACGCCCGAGTGCACACTCGCTGTCGATCCCGCCTACAAAATGGCGCGCACGGAAAGCGCATGCCGGTACGTCACTTATTTTGTTGCCTTTTTTTCTCAACGGCTCTGAGGGTGGAGTTGCTAACCGAACGCCAGTGGATTCACTGGGCTTTCAAGATAACTCCGCTCGGAAGCTACAATTTTTGTGGAGGTGGTTCAGAGAATTAATAAGATGTTATCCCAGTATTATGGAGTAATTGATCTGTTGACGTTTATTAACCTAAACGGACCTGATTAACAACAAAACCTAAGCTTAATAAAAAGTCAGTAATAAAGTTCAAAGTATGTATATTTTGTATCGTGGACTCAGGGACTTGTTACAGGTGATGGCCGGGTAGGTGCATACTACGAAACCCTTCGTGGGCCCGCTTGACCACGAACCCAGGTAGAGGCATGGATTACATAGGTTAGAATGACTGTGAGATTGAGGATCGGGATAGTCTCAGGCGATGATTACTTCAGAGCGGTGGCTTACCTAACCAGTCATTCCTTCGAGCTCAGCCAGGAAAAATACAGCTACTCCTCATTAAAAGTAATGGCAGCGATGAAGAAAGGTTTAGAGCGAAAAATAAAGCAATAGCAAGGAGGAGAATATTGAGTGAAAGGAATCAAAGAGATAAGAGTAAAGAAAGAAGTCAGGACGAAGAAAGCCTTCCAAGTGAGGAAATGAGCGGTGCAGTAGCGCGTCGGCTGGAGACGCCATGTCCCTTCCATGCGGTCAGCAGGATTTGTCCCGTGTCGTCTAAATTTGAACTTGCCGTACGGAAAACAGAGTGTGTAGCACCCCGAGTATTTGAAATGAATTCTGCTTAGCGTAAAATTCACCATCGCATAACTTTTTTATAGTTAAGACTGATGAGAGCGCAAGTGTTGTGGTGGCAAGTGGAGCTGCTCACCACGCGCGCGGTTCGGGGATGAAATCCCCGGTCGTGCATAGTCCGGGCCAATCAAGCCTTCCATCCCTCCGGGTATCGGTTAATTGGTACCAGACTTGTCTGGAGGATAAAAACACTGACTTGTTAACGGCTGGCTCCGCAAGTCATTGTATAGGCCAAATCGCATACAAGTGCCACTGCGAACGTATAAGTGATGCTTTTCGATGGGAGGGGTAGAAGATTTCATCATCTCAGATATTGTTTACGATACAATAAAATATCAATAGATACAATGTAATATATAATACAATTTTCGTAATAACTTCGTATGTTTCGTTTTCTTGACCAAGCATGCGTGGCATTTCGGATATTGTGTTGTTTCTTCTGTGCCATACAGGTTGTTATGGTGGAACACGTTTATTGGTCAACGTTTCGACAATTCGTCGTCTTCAGGACCTGAAACTGGTTCGAAGTCCTAGCTCTGTAGCTCACCCGGTAAGGCGCCTAATCTTACTGAGTTCCCGGAAAAGCGAAACAGTACAAAATAAACGATCCCAGCGAGCGAACTAACCTGTGGCGAGTCCACCAGTCTTTGCAGCCTCCTCTTCTTGTTAGTGAGCGAATAAAATGAGACACCATGGACAGTAAGCGTCCTACGTGTCGTATGTGGTGATCTCACAGTCCACATAAAGGAATGAAAGGCAAGAATTCATTGGTAATGGCCATGCATTCATTACGGTTGTTCAGTCTTGGATTTTTCACGCGGATATAAAACGCCTCTAACATTTTTCTAGCACCGATGTCGTTTTCGTAGGCTAGAATTTTGCATTTGATTTCAAAATCGTTACCCTGATGTCCCTCTACTCGGTGCTTGCCAAGTGGAGTAAGCAGATTTCCGCGCCTTTTTCCTGCCATATGTTCTTTAATGCGCACGCCTAGCATCCTGCCCGTCTCTCCAATATAAAGTTCGTCACAGGTTGAACATTGAAGTTGGTATACTATCCCTCGTTGCGCACAGTCTCCTTGCCTTCCATATGGGCAAACAACGCAGTGATTCGTGGTGCACGCGCGGTCATAGAGTCTGTTGCGGATTAGCTGACGCTTAAGATTGTCTCCTGGTATATTAATCAAAACGACTTCATCAGCTAGATCCGCCCGTGCAATGCACTGCCGTATAGCCATGCTAATTCTATCCGATATGAAAGGCAACTGGAGGTGCGCCATCTCTTCGCGACTCCTCGCGGAACGCCCTCGTGACTCCTCGCGACTTCTCGCGGAACGCCCTCGTGAAGCTTCGCGACTTCTCGCGGAATGCCTTTGTGAATCTTCGCGATTTCTCGCGGCATTTCTCTGAGAGCCTGATTCTTGTTCCAGTTTACTCAATATCTCGTGATGACGACTGTATTTCGAAACGTGCTCATGTGCTTTCCAGACTGTTATGAGAAATCATTATTTATGATGTCTCCATAAAGGGATCTCAGTCCAGGACTTATCTTGTCCAAGATTTGCGGCACTTGAGTCTAATCTTCGAAGTCTGTCGAAGTACATTATGTTCGGCTAGATCCTAACACGGACATTATAAGTAGTGATGAAAACAATTTATCACCGCGTTACGTAGTAACGGAGGTATAAATGGAAGTAGATTGTATGCCGCATCTCAAAAAGGGATTGATCAACAGCAAATCAACAATTGTCCTTTATCCTTTAAAGGCCAATGATTAGGAAGCTTCGTCATCCCGTAACTGGTAGTGTGGAGGTTTTCGATGAAGCTCGTGTGAACACCAACGCCCCTAGCCAGTCAGTTCTCCGAAAAAATAACGTTTTTTGACATTTTGACAAATAGCTCATTCACTTTCAGCTCACGTTTTCATTTTTCTCAGTCCATATTTCGCAATAGCAATACTCAGCGTTTTCTCCAGCGATTTTCTCAACATGGCTCACAAATGACTCATGTGAATGTGTTGACGAAAGGAGTGCACCATTAGGACAGAACAGTGTGAATATCCACATCAAGCAGCAGACAAGGAGGACTATATGCAGCGTTCCGCCGAGTCGGTTGCTCCAACATGAAATAATAAAATACTAATTGAAATAATAACCCTATAAGAATTGGTCTAAATTTTTTCTTTCGCAATCAGGATTGCCAAAAAGCCACGTAATTGCAAAATGTGTGAGTAGAAAATGGCGGAAATCACTCGGAAAACAAATAAATTTAGAGAGGGTTTATGCTTTTTCCTCTCTGGGGAGGTGCTGCATAGGCCGCAGAAAGCGCGGTAGGGCCTATGTCAGATTTTGCGAAGTGCGCGATTCGCTACTAGCGATTCGCAAAGTCTGACATCGGCCTAGCGCTTCTATTGCACACACTACGCAACTGTTCCGACCATAGACCCCAACTACCTCTTGTATCCGCTGGGGGAGCCTGCACTACAGACCGTACAATACAAGTGACGACAGCCTCCAAGTAAATCTGCTAATTAGTGGTTCATAGTGATAGCTGATTAGTTGGTAAATGATAGTTGTAATTAGTGACAACTGATAGAATACAACTGCAACAGGCTAATCATTTCATTGGCAGAAAACATTTACATTTTGTGGAGGCCGTCGTCACTTGTGTTGTGAAGTCTACAGTGGACGCAAAGTTAGCGTCCGCGAACAAAGATTAGGAAGGGTGCCGTAAACGGGTTAAGGGTCAATTCTTCAAACATTTGAGTGCGCATTCTTTTATACTTAACGACCTATAAAATTATCTCGAAACATTACGTGCTTGTTTGAATGAGACATTGCGCAGATGGGGGGGGGGGTAACGGGAACTTAGCGCGTCAGCGCGATACTATCAAGAGGCCAGGCCAACCATGCTTTACACATTGGTAGCTGAATATAGGTTCCTCGATTGGGAAGAACCGATTTCGGTAAATGCTTTTCGCTTCCCAATCCTGAACCTCCCCCCCCTCTCACCCCCTCATACTTCGAAGTATAGTACTCCTCTAACCTTCAAACACACCGTATGTATGTCTTTCCATGATAAGCCACCTGCAACTCAGCACAGAAGGCTCGGATTTAGGCTGAAGCTTCTTCGTGCCGACGTGTCTGCCGAGTTGTTGCCTGCCGGCTGTTCCGCCAGCGACTTGCTGCCGGCCGTGAACGTCAAAGAGAAAATCGAAGTTAACGGTAAGTATCTGTTTTTACGATCTAGTTTCCATTCTGAGAACTTACTATGATAAAGCGTGGAGCCAGGTGAACCTGGGCTTCGCCCTTCCGTACAGAAAATCCAGTCATGCAATTGCGACTGAGCCTTGGCCAGAATTTTCCTGAAGTCACAGGGATGTGCTTGTGGTCATAGTGAATTTGGGGAATGTCTTTCTTCAAATATTTCCTTAGTGCGTCTTTTGGAAGATACTACTGACCGAGGGAGGAACAAAAAATTCATCTCACCGCGGAAAGTAGCTCAAATAGTTCAAGTGACACTTCTTTCCTTCTACAGGCCGTCATGACTTGTTTCACTGAGGAATAGGTACTAGCCATTCTGAATTTTTATGAGTTCAAGGAATTTCTAAATCTTCTAAATTCCTTTTGATTAACTTCTAATTTAAATTTCTCAAACTGGTAGCCCCCGGCGACTGCCACTCCTGTGTCTGTGCACAGTTCTTTGTGGCAACAACGATGGGTCTCACGATTGTCGCCAAAAGTGCCTGATATTGACAATAATTGGCTGTGATCGGGTATTTTGATCGTGTATTCAGTCGCACCCACGCAAATTGATCCCGTCAGTAATTATACAATCTCCTACAGTGTTATCATAGTGAACGAAAAATTGATTCTCTTGAGAAATGTTTACGCGGAAAGCTTCTTTTCAGTTGTCCATGTAATTCTTAGGGAAAACAGATGGAAAAGGTTTAATTGTCAGACTGGTCGCGACGATGACAAGACAACAAAGACCCGTTGCTCAGAGCTTATCGCCTCCTCGCTTTCAGTCTAGAATCCGATCAACGCAACAATAATCAGACAACGTTTTATACCGTGCGCTCACCCTCGGAAGCTGATTACTAACCAACTAGAGGGGGAGCGTCTGTTGGTGTCAAGGAGGGAGAAGGGGAGGGGGACGAAGGGCAGGAGGGGGAACTTCATATGCTGTCGACTTCAGTCAATGCAGTGGGGTTAGCCTTCATTCCAAGCGGAATGCATTGAAATGCTCCAGTTTAACCCTTTAGCGTCATTTTCACAAACTTACAATTAAGAGTGCACTTTGAAACACCTTCCTTTCGGAGAATTTTTTAGTGAAAAAGCGTACCTTTTCAGCTCGGTTAAACTCAACATGACCGATATGTGTTTTTCTGTCCTTGGTTGTTCTATTCCGACGCTGCCCCGAGTCTAGGGCTCTTTGCATTCCGTCTTGAGAACGCATGCCCCTGTTACAATCCATATAATCAAAAGCAGAGGAATTTACTGCAGAATTAAACTATGTATGCCTAATAAGACCTTCAAAGCACTGCGCTGGGAAATATTGGTACGGAACTCGTGGTTCTCTATACATACACCGGATGCTCTATTCGGCTTTTGACTTGGTTGACGAAGGCGTTGATGAAAAGCTCAGCAGAGTGCTCGACGGGGAATCACTTGACAAATGCTCCATTAACATCAAAAAACTAGTCGAAGTTTTGTAAAATCTTACAAAGGAAAGCTTCAGCTACCTCATTCCCATCGTACTCTTAAAGGTTGTAGTTTCACGATCAGAAACATCCATTGAATTCAAAGTAGAGAGTGTGTCGAGTGGCGAGAGATGAGGAAAGACCATAAAAAACGGCCCTGAATTTGGAGAATGGGGACCTCTTTTCTTGCCCGGTTCCTTCGAATGCTAACGACTCTTTTTAGCACTTAGACCGCGGCAAGGGTCTGTTCAGCGGTGGGGGTGCGCAGTCGATAGCGTCGCGGGAGAAACAGCCATACTTAGCCCTGCCACTGGATTGTATATCCTGTCACGGGCGAGTGGCGTGCATCCGCCTCACAGGGAGGGCTGGGTGGCAGATAATCCCATCAGTCACGATTGAGATTCAAATCTTTATTCCAATTTACCTAGGAAAGCTCCCACTCAATAGCCGATACACGATAGATTTCCAATATAGATAATTGTTTGGGATCCAGTCCACAAAATATGAGAACGGGCCTGCATATATAGCCCTCTACATATACCGAATCAACTCCAGCCTATGGTCACTATTCGTATGTCAGAGAGGGTATACATACTTAGATAGCTTTACTTGAGGAAGGAGCGGCGAAACGAACGTATCTATTATTTGTTTATAATGGTTTTTTACTTAGATACTTAGACGACCCGTTGATCAGCACGGCGGTTGGCCTTGCGCGGGTCCCAACTTCTTTTCCATTGCTCGCGGTCTTGGGCTTTCGTTGTCCAGTGTACGGCCACCTTAAGGGACACAGGATCATACACGTTGTTTCTGTATGCCAAAGAGTCTGCCCAACGTAAAGGAGGGCGGCCAAGTGGCCGTTTCTTCTCGCGCGGATACCATTGAGCAGTCTTCGAGCTCCAACGTCCATCGTTTCTTCTGATCAAATGCCCAGCAAATCGGTGCTTCGCTTCATTGACGTGAACCAAAACGTCCTTAATCTTCGACATAGCTCTGACGTCAGAATTGTGCAGGCTCAGTTCTCGTTGACGGCTCAGCGTTAGGCCTATCAGACGACGTTCAATTGATGCCTGAGCGGATTGAAGCCTCTTTTCTAGCGATTTTGTTAAGGCCCAGGTTTCTCCGGCGTAGCTGAGGGCAAGCAGCACTGACGAATTGAATAGGTCGGCCCGGAGCTTTGCGATCTTGGTATCCTCTGCAACACTTCTTATTGAGTTAAAGGCGGCCCATCCAGCCTTACGACGTCTCATTATCTCTCCGGAAAGATCGTTCTTCATGTTCAGCTGGCTCCCAAGGTATATGTACTCCTCAACGTCTTCGATGGGCTTCCTTTTAGGAAGTACAGAGGCGCTAGTTGAGAAGAGTTGAGCGCGGGGTTATTCAACAGTTTTTTTGGTCTTCCTGGTGAAGTCTCGGAAGCCTTTCTATGAAATTTCTGGATTTAAATTTGACATCCACACAGGTACAACTCGAGCAATGAGTAGCACACTTATCTTCTTAACCTCTCTGAAGGAACGCTTAGGAGAGGTGGTGATAAATGTGTTTCAGGTGAATCTCGACTTGTCCAAAAGAAGAAGACCATTTACCCCGAATGGGAGAAGTGCTGGGATACGGCGGTGACAGAAGGTCGCATCTTGCAGATAGTGCTCATGTACAACCAAACGCCTGTCGTTGAAGCAACCATGCGATTAGAGGTGAGTATCTGAAACGCTGGAACCGTTCAGAATCAAGATTATGCCTCTGGGTCAAGTTTATTTCATGGGGACCACTCGAGGAGCTCACGATATACGAAGATAAGTACTAACTGAGTCATTATTTACCATTAGGCTGGATACTCAATCGCAATTTTACCGTTTTTTGAATTCCGCTTGGAACCTGGTTGTAGAGTGGCTTTGAGGACCCTTCGGCATCAGAAGACGTTTCATGATTTAATTTTTATTTATTTGTTTATTTATTTAGTGCACATAGGTGCGCCATTAACACTGCTACGAGGTTAGTGTTATAAATCCATGCAACGACAAACGGTGGGAGAAAACATTGAAGCATTCATAAAGTAAACAAAGAGTCAGAAAGTAATCTATCTGTGTTCTCGAGGTACTTTTTGGCTCAGATACGTGGATTCTGCCATATCATTCGTATACTTTCCTCAACATGGTTGTAGAGTAATGCTTTATCTTTTCACTGTTTGGGCGATCCAGTATGGGTTTATCGGGTCCATTATGGTGGGAGTCGAAGGGAGGGCTCCCATTCATCAAATATGCCATTCCAGGCCATGCTTCATAGAAGTTCGGGTGCTATTCCATTGGTCCAATACAAAGGTGTTCCGACTTAGAATTTATTCCATGAACTGATTTCACCTTGAATCTTCTTTCGCTCCTTTTCCATTTTCTCCTTTATTACCGCTCTCGCACTTTCCAGTATTTTGTACTGTTTTTTCTCATATGTTACTTACTTTTCCTTAGGAGCGTCATTCACTACTTTTATTATTGTTTTTTTTTGCTCTTCACTTAATTTTACATCAGTCGACAACAGTCTTGCCACTTGTTTTTGCCCAAATGATATATTGTAGTTCAAGTGCTCTCCAAAATTAATTGTAGAATTTTTTTTTGTCCATTAACTGTCGTTTCTGGCAGCAGTTTGCCACAAACTTATCACAAGAGTGCTGGATTATAGGGAACAGCGCTCGCCCTAAGCGGCTGCATAGGTAACGGTTCGCTATCACAAGAGCCGGATTGAAAAGTATTGCGGAGTTCGAGTCTCTTCTGAAGCGAGTTGTGGCCTTTAACCCGGCACATTTTATGACAACTCGAGCACTGTGGAATATCTTATTAGTTGAACGCATAATTTGGCAATTTCGTATTCAAAAAAATGAGGAAAATGGGAATACGAGGCGGGGAAAGCAAATCTATTCCTGACTATTATTTTTATCCCTTTTATCCTAGGAAAATATTTTTCTCTCCCATAATTTCGATTTTATGTTCAATTTTGTTGGGACCATCCAAAACAGGTAGGTTGTGATACTTTTTCTCCATTTTTTCCTCAATAGAACACATTCATTCTTCTTTTTCTTCGTTCCTCTCAATCACCTTGCATATCTCATGCTTCTTCTCACGACCTTATTTTGCCTTTGTTCATGCTAATGTATGCATCAGATTTTCTTGTAGCATGACTCTATTCTCCTTCCGAACATTCTTTTCTAGGAAGATTTGAATTGCATGCTTCTCCTTTCGCAGGAAACCCTGAAGCAAATGTCGGCTTTTACCAAATCTTCTCGAGATGTGCCATGCATTAAACTTCCTTATTCTGTAGGGTCGACTTGGCCTTCACTATAATATAATACAAGTCAGCCTTTTTATCCACCCAGAATCTGATTCTACATATTTAATCGGCCCTGGAAAGGGAAGGCTAGATTGGATTGAGCCTGCTTGGGCCCGTGCATCGACCTCTGCACCATACGTGTGCGGGCCCCTTTGAACCATCCTCGTCATTCAGTAGAACTTCATTCCTGTTAATATCACCATTCACACCAGAATCTGATCGCCTAGTCAAGCACGCAAGTGAACGAACGGATGGTAGTAGGCATTTCTAGAAATACCTCCATTTATCTGCTCGATGCTTTACTTAGACATCGTTCTCGTCACATTAGGCTCTCTATTGGAACTTATAGAGATGGACGGTTTTTCTCTAGGGGGATTGGTATTAGTACCCTCACCCGGGGCTCGAACTTTTCAATATAACAGAAAAAAGATGCACCATGCGTTCAACCTCCATTTACCATCGTATCCTCACGTATTTGAGTGCAAACGAGTCAGGGAAGCCAGTCATGTAGAAGTTGGTATTTTTGCTATCCCAGGCAAGTCTCCTGCCAACTAACCAACACCGGAGGGACAGAAGATCTGGTTTCGAGGGCAAAACTCGAGCCGTTTGACCTGTAGACCATCAAACTTTTGCCATTACACACTTAGCATCGGTTACATAAGTGTGGGATTTAAGCTTTATTTTTGAACGTTTCCCCACGTCCCGAGCCTTGCTGAGGTTACACTTCTCGCGATCTACTGGACCTGCAGTGCGCAGCCTAGTATTGCGAATTGTTACACTTGAATACTCAGTGTAAGACTTTCCCTTCGTTATAAACGTTACATTTCCAATAGGACAGTTGTATACAGTTGAATAAGTGCAAAATGTTCCAAGTTATGAGAATGATTCACAGCGTTTAGCAAAGGGACGTGTTAGTGATCGCATTATTCGTTCAAAACATTCATCGCAAAACAGTTCGGTGACAAGACACATGCCGTACACGAACGTCAACATTCTGCCCGACCACCTTTGGCTAAGCTCAACCATTTGCCTTCTCGATGGAATAGTGCGTCACGAAATGCACAAAATGGTTTGGAATTGTTGCGGCGGTCGTATAATTACGGCTGAGCGAATCAGTCAGTTAGCGTTTTTTAAAAGGGACTTTAAGGTCAGCGGACCAAGAGAATTATCAGAATAGACCGACAACGGCGTGAGTTAGTAGCAAGTGGTGCCGGTAACATTGGGAGTTTGGATTCTGGGGGTTGATATAGCCAGCGAATTGCGGTCTCAATAGTTAGGTCGGCTATTGTGGTTGGCTGAAATAGTTTTGTAGTTGTTTTCTGACTCCACCATGCGCGATTGCAAGTGATGAGTAGTATCATTATAGCATTACAATGTCATTGCCATTCCTAATTCGAGTAGAAATGGCGTGGCGATATTCCTTGAAGGGTTGTTCACATGACAGGTTGATTTCTAAGCGTAAGTAACAGGGTGGCTCAAGCTCCTCAAATATAGGTTTTAGGTGAATTTAGATTCTACGGCAACCCTTTCTTTCGGCTTTTTTGTTAAGGATGAAATCAGTCTTCATTTTTGACATGGAAATCGATGAAAGCATATTGGATAGAACTGTCCTTTTTCTTGAGATCGGCGTATCGGTAAACCTATGTGCTAAAAACTGAAAGCCGGCATTGATCCTGAAACAATGGGTAGGACTCTTTAAACGCGCTAAAGATTTCTAATGGAAGGTCAACTCGTTGCGCATCCCGCATTTGTCGAAGTAAAACATTCGGTCGCTCTCTGTAATAATTGTTTTTACCATCTGTGCCTTCAAAACATCAATCAATGGCCCAAAGTATCGTAATTGAACCAGTCAGCGAACGTAGGAACAGTTAATTTGTTATTTTGTTCATTCTTTACACCCGCTAGAGGGGCGAGAAATGTTTACCGGAGGATTCAAATTCATTGATTAGTCGTGATGACGTCATCTGAGTAACTATTGTGTAGGGTGATTTCGGTATGTTTATAAAGCACACCAATGCAGACAGTGTTGTGCCTGCTTGTCGTGGCCGAAGTCCCCGCACCCCTACGAACGGCGTTGGGCGAGATGTACACATGACTTGACGGAATGTTTAGAATGCTAATCCTCTATGAAGCTTTTTCTTTAGTGGAGGACATCTCGCCAGCGATACGGTATTAACAAATGCATGATCCTCGTCGAACTCCTTAATTTTCACAGTTTTTTTATTGCTTATTGCCATGAATTCTTATAGTGCTGCTGATTTGCCAGCGCTTTGTTGAAACTTCATTCTTGATTGAAGAAAGGTTCTATTATCTGATCTCTGGGTTTTATTTTTTCCACAACACTCGACATATTTCTCTCTTCAGAGAGAATTCTGTGATGATTAGGCTTGAAACCCTTCTCTTTTTGTTATAACAGTTTCGAAAATTGCTTTCTATACTAACCATTCCCTTAATAGTTGAAGCTTTCAGTTATTCTACAGAGCGATTATGGAAACTTGGTGACTGAAGGATTTATACAAAGCTTGCGATAGGTTCCCCCAGTCTCAGTATTGAAACACAAATGTAGCCATCGAATATTTCAGGTTACATCCTTATGTGCCGAAGGGAGATTTTTGGTCAAACTTACATTAGATGGCCAATGCATGAACCTGGGTGTCTTTCTTCATCAAACTCACCAATCCTTCTGAACTTTGAGAAATGCCCTTGAATCGCTCGACACTTGTCTGAAAAATTCTAACGAAAAGAACACGACCGGACACGGGACTGCAGAAGTGAGCAGCGTGCTATAGCAGAACTACCTTTACATTTTGCTGGATCGGAAGTACATGGATTATGACTACCTTAATCGTTTTTTTCAACATGGGCTGTCAATCGTTATTCGTGATTTGGCTTAAAGGCAAACCCCGGGATTAGCCCGACTAGTAGGAAGGATACCACGAGGGAAATTGTAAGGTCCGTACCTACCTAGATCACTCCAGCTTCGTCGCGAAAATTGCGCGGTTAGGGCGCTAATCCTTACGGGCCTGCAACCATCGACCCCGTTCCAACGCTTCCCCCACCGCGAGAGTGGTGAGATCAGCGTGCATTGATCAATCAGCGTGCTCTCTCGCGTATTTTGTCTTCTTTGACCGCCCTGTCTCGCCATCGTACCACATCCGACCTTATTGAAGGTTAAGGCCTTAATTTCAGCGTTCCAAAGATTTCTCTTGCTTTCCTTCCACTTTCAGGTCGTTCCGCAGCTAAGCTATCACTACGAAGCGCTCATAGCACCAGTTTAATCCCGGAGTTTGCCTTTATGGCTCAGCGCATATCCCCAAACTCGATCTGATCCTTTGAAGTCGTATTTGGCCATCGCAACGATTTTTCTGAGCAATTGCATGATTTTTGAAGCAGGAGGTCACAATGTACAGGTGGGCAAAAATTATGGGTAAGCTGATCATGGAAAGCCTAATGCGGTGAGAAAGACATGAGTGGACTACAATAATG